TGCAAGTTCAGTTCATGTTCATCCCAGCAGATGAAGAAATAGCTCTGAGAAGCGTGCAATGTGGCGCGAAATTCAGGCTGGGAAGTAGTTATAGAGAGCAATACTGAAAATTTGATGCATTAGCAATTGGTGATTGGTTTTGACCCATTCACATTGTTCTGCTTTTAGACTCATATTTTATTGGTTTAGTGATTGGTTTTCATCCAATCATCCTTTGGTTCATATGAACTATTCGGATGTTATCTCTATAAAGTTCAATGGCGAGAATTTTGCACTCCGAAAATTTTAATTCCGGATATTTGTTGACGGCAAAGACCTTTTGGAAATCTTGATGGCACAACTCCAGAACCTGTAGAAGCAACAGAGGGGGTAAAAAAAAAATGGAAGCCCAATAATGCTCGTGTTATAAGCCGACTTCTCAATTCCATAAACCAAGAAACAACCATGAGATTAGGAGCTTATGGGAAAGCATCATACATGTGGAAGCATTTAGAGAAATTTATTCTCAGTCAAATCAAGCAAGAAGGATTCATCTGGAATATGAAATTTCTCGATACGTTCTAGAGGACCAAGATATTCAGACCTATTGTTCTAGTTTAATGACTCTTTGGTCTGGACTAGATCTGATCATGGTAGAATCTACTGAAGCAGCAGTACTAGAGCATATGATGAAAGAGAATAGAAAGAGCAAGGTGATGTAGTTTTTGACGAAGCTACGTCCACAGTTTGAATCGGTTCATGCAACTATAATTAATCGACAAATACAGGACCTTGATACCTTTGTCTTCGCAGAAAGGCTACAATCAATAATGGATCTACAAGCTTTGATAATGTTTTCTGTTCTTCCAAATATCAGGTTAGATCCAAAGAAAAACAGAAAGATCCCACTCATATCCAATGTCATTATTGTAGAGAGCAATTTAGGTCATGTAGTCTCCGTATTGCAAGGATCGAAACTTCGGCAATTACTGTCGGAAAATTGGTCATATAATTTCAGAATGTGGATTTTTGGGTGATCGAAAGCAAGGGCACAAAGCTTATCGTACATCATCAACCACTATAGGTGATATTTTCTCTTAGTACACAATCATCATTTTTATTTTTATTTTAGTTTAGAAAAATTTATCCTCCTTTTCATCTTTTGCTATTTTGATTTTTTATACATGATTTTGGACCCATAAGAAGGGACCCAACCCAACAGATGTAAACCCTTAAGCGACGAACATTGCTATTTTGCAGCAGGAAAGTATTGTTGCATAGCTAAATCTCAGATCATTGTTTGAGAACCAGAGAGCTATTGTCTGACTTGGTCCTCCCGTCATCAACAGTGAAATTTTTGCATCTTATCCATTAAACATGAAGATTTTGTGAGTATAGATTTCATCTCAACAGAAGAGCTCTGTTGCACATGTAAGATACTGACCGCTTCTGATATTTTATGCAGTTTCTTTGCTTTTTTTCCTTTCTGTTTGCTTTGTTCTCCGTTTGATGTGATTGCATCTTAACAGCATAGCACTGTTGCACTATATGTTCAGTGTTTTTTTTTTCCCACAAGAAAGTATATATATATATTTTTTTAACTCATACTGCCAAGACTTTTAACATATTAGCCTTGTAAGACCTTATATTGCAAAAGACTATTACGATTAGGCTAAAAGTTTAAGAAAGTAGTTAACTTATGCAAGAATGCATTTTTGCTCTTTTTTGGTTTTATTTTCCAAGGTTCGTGCAAAATGAGAAAAACATGATATAAAAATAGATAAGAGTTCAAACAAGCTCAGGACCTCTTCTTGCTTTATGCCTTCATCCATTCAGTGAAATTCTTGGTAGAACAATCATCTTCTCTAACATTCTGCATGCCCAATCTTTTGAGTTCTAAGCCTTTTCCTTGAATATTTCATCACCGACAACCATGGTTTAAAATAGCATGGTACATTACATACTTTATTATCATTATTCGATGTTATATATACTTTAAAGTCGTTTTACATATATAACGACAAATAACGATATTATCGTTATATAATATCATTATTTATCGTTACATAATTTCATTATATATCAAAAAATTTAAAATTCTGCTCTAATCAATTATCAACGTAAAAAATGAAAAAAAGAAAAAGGGGAAAAAAATGGGACTTATAGAAAAGCTTGGTTGAAAATCAGAGAGAGAAAGAAATTTGAAGAAAGGGAAGCTTGGTTGAGAAGAGAGAGAGAAAGGAGGATGAAGAAAGGAAACCTGGTTGAGAATTTGAAAGGAAGAAGAGAAGACGTGAGTTAAACAGGAGCAAAGAGAGACTAAGAAAGAAAGAAAGAGAGAGATAGACGCACGTGATATTCATAGAGAATGCAACTTTAGTTGAATAAATTATAAATTAATTTCTTTAGTTTGGAAAAAAAATGTTAGTTCTTCTAGTTTTAAAAATAAGTTAATTAATCCATTTTGAGTTATTTTCTAATTTGTTTTGCTTTTGTTTTTTTAAAAAATTATATCATGAAAAAATTGATGAAAAAAAATATTTTGTGAAATAAAATAATATTACATTAAATATGGTAAACAATCACAAAAAAAAAAATTAAATAATTAATTTTTGAAAAAAAACTAATTAATTCAGTTATTAAAACTAAAAGGACTATTTTGTAATTTTTTCTCTATTATTCAACCAAATTTCAAGTTGAGGCACAAAATTCAAAGACATGCTAAATGCATGCTTTAAGTGAGTAAAATAGAAATTAGTCCCTTTAGTTTGCAAAAATAAATAAATTAGTTTGTATTGTTTCAAAAACCAATTATTTAGTCATTTTTTTTTGTCTATTTTATGCTATTTTTTAATTTGTCTTCTTTTTTATTTTAAAAAATAGAAAAAGAAAAAAAATTTATATCATAAAAAAATTAGTGAAAAAACCATTTTGTAAAATAAAATAATATTACATTAAACATGGTCACCACTAATTAAAAGATTAGATAATCGAGTTTATTATTTTTTTGTGTGATATTAATTTATTAGAAATGTTATTAATTTTTTTAATAAATTCAACTATTTTTATATAATATTAAACTATTAAAGATGTCATTAGTTATTAGTATGTTTAAATTAGTAAAACTCGTTAAAAATATGTGAATTAGAATATATTTATTTACGAGTTGTTAATACAATATTGATTGCCGTGATTGCTATTTTACAAGCACGATAAGCGTGATCCAAAATCGCAATTGCGATCGTTTTTTCAAGCTGCGATCGCTATTTATTACAACTATGCCTGACAAATCTTTCCACTTTATCCTTTATTTCTTCTCGTGAGATGATTCTACTTTTGTTTTTTTCAAACTTCAATCCCACCTTCCACACATCACAAATGTAGGTCTCATTAAGGAATTGGTCGGCAAAAATATGGCCAACACAAGGAAGGTACCCTGTTTCGTATGCCCTCCATGATGGAGTTCCAACCACAATGGTTCAAGAAGTAGGAAATGGAAGGGTGGCTAAGGACTTTTTGTTGAGGAGCCCAACCAACCATGGTTTTAAAAAACATCATATAACAATAACGGGGCACCCGATTACCGTTATTTGGCATTATTGGTGCCCCGACGCCATTTCTCATGTATAATGGTAAATAATAATATTATCATGGTGATTTTTCGTTATATAACGAAGTTATGAAAAGAAAGCCAAAATTTCAACCATTTCAACTATTGAAATTCGGTCGGTGATGAGAGGTAGAGACGAGAGGTCGAGAAGCGAGAGATGAGAGGGAGAGAGGCGAGATGAGAGGCAAGCAAAGATGAGAGGTAGAGGCGAGATGAGAGGCAAGCAAAGATGAGAGGTAGAGAGGCAGAGAGAGAGAAGCTTTCGGTGATAACCGATCACAAAAGCTTTAGATGTTAACCGATAACGAGTTAGAGAGAGCCTCGAAAAAAAGTCCTTTTATTTTGAAAGGCAACAAGCCCATGTGAACTTTAATATCGAAAAACATGCTTTTGCGAGTTTTTGGTTGAATAAATTATAAATTAGTCATATTTTGAAATAATAATTTAGTTATTCCTTCTATTTCAAAAACCAATAATTTATTTATTTTGTTCATTTTATATTTTTAATTTATTTTTCTTTTTGTTTTAAAAAATAGAAAAATGAAAAATCAAATTTACTATGAAAAAGATTGATGAAAAAAATATTTTATAGAATAAAATATTAAAGTTTAAACATGATCAATAATGATTAAAAGAGTAAATAATTATTTTTTAAAATATTAAAAGCTAATTTATTCATTTACCAAAACTAGAAGGATTAATGTATGATTAAATCTTTTATTATTCTACTTTGGTTATCTTGCATGCACAAATTCAAAGGCTGCAAAGTAAATGCAGCTTTAATTGAATAAATTTTAAATTAGTCCTTTTAATTTGAAAAAATAAATTAGATGGTTTTTATTGTTTTAAAAACATATTATTATTTTTTTATTTGCTTTTCAAAACTAGTTATTGTTGCAACTTTGATGGACAAAAATCACAACATCAACTACAAAATGATAACTATTATTATGATTTTTTACTACGATTATTTTAAAGATGAATATTTTGTAATGTGTTTATCAAAATTGTAATGTATTTTTGTTTTTGTGATATTTATCTATTAGAAGTGTTACTAACTCGTTTTTCGTAATAAATTCAACTATGATTGTATGATATTAAACTATTAGAAATGTTATTACTTATTAGTATTTTTAGTTAGTAAAACGGTTAAAAATATATAAATTAAAATAAACTTATTAACGATTGCTAATATATTCACGACATCGGTTGCTGCAACTCGTTATTTTATTAGTACGATAAGTCGCGATTTGTGATCGCAATCGTGATCGCGACCGCTATTTAAAACTATGCAACCAACTATCCGCTATACTCTATTGAAATCCTTCTGGATGGGTATCGTTGGTTTCAATCGGAATATCTGGCCTGACAACCCACAAGAATGACCAATTGGATAGTTCAAGACCTAGAGCTAACTCTTGAATGTTTGGTCAAAAAGGGTAAAGCTACCAAATCCAATGTAAACAACTGAGTTGGGTGGCTGTTGGTCTAGCCATTTCAAACATGTTGAATCTTCTGGCCAGAAGTAGCCCATTTGATCTCCTAGCCTATTGCTTGCCAAGAGCGGTCGTATAGGTAGAATGCTTGGGGCGAAAGAGAGAGCTCCAGGCTCAAGGTCATAAGCCGAGTTAGCAACTATCCATTCTGACGCTTTCACAGTCTCATTGGTTTTAACCATGACCTAAAATGTGATTTTCTGTGTGGTAAAGTAACGAAGCAGGTCCATGCAAAGTTTGCAGTGTCCATTGCAGGCATTTTTGGCGCCAACTGAATCATCTGGTCCTTCAGTGGAGTTCCTTAATTAAAGGAAAAAAACATTTATATGTTAATGATAAAGATATTACAGTGAACTTCCCATTCCTAGGGTCTTCTAGGTTCTAGCTTAAAAGTTGTGGTATATTGATTTCATCACTATTATTAGTGCCATAGATAATCTGATAACAGACTTTTTTGAACCAAGATTGCCATTCCAAAGCAAGCCTAGTTGATGACTACTTTGATTACCCTAATTTATTATAGTGCAACACATTAGTTAAAAAGGTAATTCTGATAGAGGATCTCACCATCATTGTCAATGATTCCATCACCGAGTAGCTTTGAAATACTAATCAACGAGCAGAGTAGGGTAGCTGAGGCAGGCCAAAATATAGCACGGCGGATATTCAGCTTCTCTGCTACTTCTAGACCCCATCCCATGCACCAATCAGTAATGATTCCAGTAATTTTTTCTTCTTCTGACATATTGATCGTGTTCTAGCTTGCCTGGCATGACCAGAAAAATTGCTTTAGTTAACTTCCTTGATCATTTCTATCCTCCCAAGGTTCTAACTTCTAACCCATCAGGGATTGAAACGAGACTAATTTCACTCCCAAGATAATTGTTCTTTCCCAATGCTTCCAAGACTCTCCTATGATTATACTCTGTGTTTAAAAATGTGATTTTGAATCCTTGTTTACTAGGCATTGGGAGAGCTCCATGAAGGGAATCACATGGCCTTGTGCTGGATAAGGTATGACTACAATATATGGGTTGCCCATTTTTTGTTTGTAGGATTTTCAACTCCGGCAATTCCAGAACTTCATTCTTCATGAAGAATCTAAAAATCCGTATGAATTTATAGAAGATTAGGAGGAGACATCGAGAAACTAGGCAATGCATCCAGCATTCTTCCCTCACTCTGTTTTAAGGTCATTACCATCATTGTTTCTTTACTTTGACATATTTGCTATTGAATCTTTTATGTGATGCATCAGGTTTTGATCTTTGTTTTTGGTTTTTGTTCCATGCTTAATGTCGCCATATATAATTCTTGTAAACGTATTAGAGATGCATTTGGAGTTTACAAATCCGCCTTTTAGCTAAAAATTGCTGGAGCTTGTCCCACTCAATTCTAGAAAATATCTTTTAAAACTAATGAAAGACCGTCTTTGTCATTTATGCTACAAAAACTTCGCCATGTCAGTATCAAAAAACATGCCAGTATATGCTGTCATTTAGCAGATATAACCCAGAAAAGAAAACAAGAAATTCTTTTGCTACTTTTTTTTTTTTTTTTTTTTGTCGTGAGTGTGGCTATAATGTTGATCAGAAGTTTCAAATTTCACTTCTAACGGAAATAGTGTATGCTGGTCTTTATGGGCCTGCTAAGAGAAGTATGGGGTTGCCCATGACCCCTCCTGAATTTCCTGAAGGATGAGGTAATTCACGGTTCATTGTTGTTGAGAATATGCCATTCTTCCTCATTCTATTTCAAGGTTATTAGCAGTTTTGTTGCTTTAAGAATGTCTTATTTAGTATTGAATTAATGTTTTATCTTTTGCATCGTTTTGTTGCTTTACCGTTGTCTTATTTTCCTACTGAATGTTATATTTGATTATTTGTTGCATCAGTTCTTGCTCCATTCAATCCTTTTGTATTTTATGTTTGTTCCATGCTTAATATCTCCATCTACAGTTCTCATCAGCTGACATAGCAGATAACGAGAGTTATTAAGTTCTAAAACGTCGGAAAAAAAAAAAAAAAAACAAAACAAAGTCCTAGCTTTAGTGAAAACTCTCGAGTTTTATTGAATAGAATTTCTTTTTTTTTAAAAAAATCCTAATAATATTGAATATAAAAATGAGAGTATTAATTTACTAATAACACTTGTCTAATTAAAATGGAAGTTTAATGGCATATGAGACTATAAAGCAGGCCCTTCCTTAGGAAATTAACCATAGATTCACTGGGGTCCTCCTGCCAAAGTGGAGTTATCTGAATCTTGAACACAAGAATAGCTAGGTTTTATAAATGGTTATATCTCTTTGCAAAATTCTGGTCAATTTCATTTTGTTCGATCGTATTTGAAAATATTATCGATCTCGGTTGACTTTGCAAATGCAAAAATTTGTATTTATCGGTTCCCATTGTTTTCATCTTTCACCAAAGTTGTCTGTCTTCGTTGTTTTTGCACCTCACATTGCAATTGGCTTCAATGATAAAGCAGAAAGTGTCAGTAGTGTTCCATGGTAGTCACAAACAGGAGTTAAATTATATTTCTTTTTGTCTGAACCAATGTCCATCGAACCTAACCAACCATGCAAAATGATATATTTTTATTCTCTTTTTGTTATTTATGTTGGGCAAAGAAACACAAAGAACACAGTGGAGCTCCTTTGCCCTTGCTTGAACAATCAACCATAGGCTACAACCAAATACCCAAGCCAAACAAGTAACTAATAATCTGAAAAATAAGCAACCAATCACAATCACACAAAGCACACACAAATTTTTACATGAAAAACCTTCTCAATTTGAGAAGGAAAAAACCACCGACGAGAGTCCACTATAACTTCCATTATCAACAATAATGGATATAAGGAGTCCTCTCTAGATTAAACTAAATGAATAATCAGCCACAAACATCAATGGTTACACACCCTTAGCAAACCACATCAAAAGATGATATACAAAGAAAGTAGAAGAAACCAAGTTCATATTTCATCGGAAAATAGCATCGTTAAGAGCATAATATCTCCCTCTCTAGGACTCAAAACCAGATCTCCACCTTCCAGAATATGTGCTCGCCTCTCCCGAATGTGCTCACCAAATTTGAGCTCGATTCAACGGTTAACAAACCTAGAAACTCAATTTTAGCATGACCGATCCGTGCTAAAACTCTCTTCCCTCTTTCTCTCAAAAGTTAAAGCTCTCACTTGCTTTTCTCTTTTTTCTCTCTTGCTTCTTCCCTAATCGATTTCGGAATAAAAGAGAAGATAGGGTTTATTTAGAAATACTAAAATTACCCTTTAAGTGATTAAAAAATCCTCCTCTACATGGGCTCCAAAATTGGGCTCATGTAGGCAAACCTTTGGGCCATCCTCCAACTAGGAGGGAAACCCAACAATTCATCGATCATGCAAAATGTTGTTCTATAAGTCTCTCTCCCTCTCTCTCTTTCTCTTCCGTTCATCATGCCTTTTTCATTGGATTTAACTCCATGATGCCATTTGTCATTGCATTTAACAACCTACTTGGTGAATCTTCGTTTCAATAAGGAGGAAAAATTATCCTTCGATCATCAAGAACTTGAAATCACAAGTGTGCGGCCTTGATGGGGTTCATCTACATTATGGTAAAAAAGAGAGTTAATTTTATCCCTTGGAGATACCACTACATAAACGCTTGGAAGTGACAAAAGTTGTTATTTTGTGGCGAGGAAAAGATTGTTGCGTCACGGAATCTTGAATCGGCGTCACGAGAACTAAGAGTCGCCAATGTAGTCTTTTCGTGTTTCTATCAACAATGGAATTTTTGCTTCATATCTTGAGGATTATTGTTGGACTTTTAATCAAAAGAGCTACGGAAGCTTTAAAGACTTTTTTATTAAAGAAAAAAAAACTTATATAATAAAAAGTCGTTTAAAAAACTCAAGAAAATTGGCTACAAATATGTGCAAATTTCATTGAATCAAAATTTTACTTAAATACAATAAAAAAGTAACTAAAAAAAATCGAACATGATTACATGATTTAACTCATAAACGAACATGATTTCATGATGTCAAAACATGATCTAAGCCATGAACAACTACTTTTTAGCAACTAAAGAAAATGCATAACAAAACCATTAGAATAGGTCAAAAATTTCAAATACAACGTGTGTGGACACTTGAGTTTGCCTAATCAATAACTTTTGCATAGTCGGTAGCTATTAAGACACGTCCGCAGCACTCCTCCTTATCTCGATAATCGCGGACTCCAAGTTTTTCTCTTTGAAAATCAAATATGCAGGAAAGGAGTGCTTTTGTAAAAATATCGGGAAGCTAATTTTCAATCTTGTAGTAGAGCAAGGAAACTTCTCCATTTTTCTCCACTTCTCTTAAAAAATACAAATTAATGTTAAAATATTTAGTTTTTCTATGTAAGACGAGATTGTTGGAGATTGCAATGGCTGTCCGATTATCAACAAACGCCTTTGTACTCTCCTTATACTCCAATTGCAAGTCGGATCAAATTTTCCTAAGCTATAAGGCTTGATTCATAGGTGTTGTGATAGCAATGAACTCTGCCTCGGCTATTGATTAAGCCCCTATCTCTTACTTCTTGGAACTCCATGAAAACACACCTGTACCAAGTATAAAATAGTACCTTGATGTACTTTTAATATCATCAAAAGAACTCGCCTAGTCATTGTCGAATAGCTATGAAACTAAAAATTCGACTATGCTAAAACAAAACTACATAATCAATAGTTTTTTTTTTTTGACATATCTAAGCATCCATTTAGCAACTTTAAGATGCAATTCACTAGCACAATGTAGAAATCTAGACAAAACACTCACAACATGTAGTATGTCGGGCCTTGTTGTAGTGAGATACATCAAGCATCCAATGAGACTTTTGTACTTAGCCTCCTCCACTTTCTCAATTCCATCTTCCTTATAAAGCTTCTCTTTTTGGTTCATAGGAGTGCTCATTTGCTTGCAGTCTTTCATATTGAGTTTTTTCATGATCTCTTTTGCATACTTCCTTTTGACAAATCTTGTTTTGCTTTATCTCTATACAAGGAAGTAAGTCGTCTTTCCTAGATTAGTCATCTCAAAAATCTACATCATTTCTCCTTTGAACTAATAAATAAGTTCATCGGTGCTTGCATGTGACTAAGAGATCAATAACATATAATGAGATGACAATTAAATCAGAATTATCTCCTTTAACATATAAGGTTGGTTCACTAACGCTTTTAACAAAGCCTAACTTTAGTAGATGCTCATCAATCTTACTCGTACCAAGCCCTTAGTGTCCGTTTCGGACCATATAAAGCCTATTTGAGAAGACAAACCTTGTTCTCCTGCCCTATTACAACAAATCCTTCGAGGTTGCTTAATGTATATTTCTTTCTCCATAAATCCATTTAGAAATGTTGACTTCACATCAAGCCGGTAAATTTTCCAACCCTTCTATGATGCAATGACTAGCAGTAGTCTAATTGTATCTTGTCTTACAACGAGAGCATATGTGTAAAAAAATCCACACAAAAAATTTGAGCATACCCTTTTGCCACAAGCCTTGCATTGATTTTGTCGATTGAGCTATCCGCATTTAACTTTGTTCTAAACACTCATTTGACACTTATCACTTTTCTATGTTTAGGACTCTCCATAAACTCCCAAGTTTGATTATTTTCTATCATATTGAGCTCCTCTTGCATTGTAACCCTCCATTTGGGATCCTTTTATGTTTCCAAATATCCCGCGAGTTAAAAAAAACTATAAATATTAGAGAGAAATTGTGTGCCTCTTACAAAAGGTTCATCCATTTACTCATCTTAATTTTGTAAAAGGATCAGCAATTTGTTTTGTTTTTCTACATCATTCTAACTCCATTGTTCATTCTCTATGAAGTACACATCTCTACTTATATGAATTTTCCTTCGTTAGGCTAAAAAAACTTTATAAGTTGTTAAAATTGTATTATATCCCACAAAGATACTAGGCTTAGCCTTCTTATCAAGTTTATCCTTCTTGATCTATGGCACATTGGTGAAACATAAGTAACCAAATATTTTAAGATTTTTCGGGGAAGGTTTAAATCATTTCGGACTTCAAAATAGTCTTCCTATTCACTGCCTTAGTGGGAAGTCTATTTAGCAAGAATACTTGTAGTATTTGTAGTCTCCGTCCAATACTCCAGCAAATCTTTCTCATAGAGCATGCATCGGCTAGCCATTTCCATGATTGTCCTATTCTTTCTTTTATTGACTTTTTTTGTTGTGGAGTATATGGAGTCGTAAGTTGATGCTTAATACTAACCTCACAAAAAAAGTTAAATTGTTCTAAATCGTACTCGTTGCCATTACATGACCTCAAAACTTGGATATTGAAACCACTTTGGTTTTCAATCCACTACTTGAACCTTTAGAATACACATGCAACCTTTGACTTAAACTTGAGAAAATATATCTAATACATTCGGTAAAGTTATCAATAAATATTATATAGTATTTACTCTATTTAAATGGAGGAGTTCTTTGAGGCATAACAAGATCTATGTGGATCACTTATAGTTTCATAGTTGCTCTCCGGGATGATTGTAAGAATGGAAGTCTTGCTTGCTTGCCATATTGATAAGCCTTGCAACTTGGTAATTCACTCTCCAAGTGAGGTAAGCCTTGAACTGATTTTATTTATTTATTTATTATTATTTTTATTATTATTATTATTTTTGTTTTTTTTGGCATTAACAAGATAGCAACATGATGAAAATGGCCTAGCCTCTTATGCCATGTCTCAAACTTATTTTTAGTAGTAGGATATGTTGCTTGTTCCTCCTTTATTGGATCCAAAGATGAGTTCTTGCCTCTCATTTTGATTCTACACCCTTCTTGATCACTTTCATATTTGATTAGACACTATTTATCTTCAAAAATTACTTTAAAGCCCTTTTCAAGTAAGCTGTCCCATACTCAATAAATTTTGATCAATTTCAAGTACAAACAAAATATAAAAAATTAGTTGTGTACCTATGTAGCTTTCAATAGCTAGAGTTCTTTTTCCTTTGACAATAATGCGCCGACCATTGACATTTTTGAATCTTGACATCTCCGACCTATCAAGTTCCCCGAAGAGTTCTTGATCATAGGTGATATGATTGGTGGAGCGACTATCAATGAGTCGGCTCTCACTTGAGCTATCGTTGGAAAAACAAGAAGTGAAAAAAAATTGTTCTTCCTCTCCTATTTGTTTGTAACTTGAGCTTCATTTTGTAGCTGAATGTTGCTCCTATAGATCTTCTCATGATGCCCTTACTCGTTGGAAAAACAAAAAGTGACAAATAACTATTCTTCCTCGTCCTGTTGGTCCGTAACTTGAGCTTCATTTTGTAGCTGAAGATTGCTCCTATAGATCTTCTCATTTTGTAGCTACTCGTTGGAAAAACAACAAGCGACAAACAATTGTTTTTCCTCATCCTATTGGTGTGTAACTTGAGCTTCATTTTGTAGCTAAATGGTGCTCCTATAGATCTTCTCATGATGCCCCATCTTGTTGCATTTACTACACTTCACATCTAGCCTTCTCCAACACTTGAAAGGAGGATGATCTTTCTTGTTACAATGGTGACAAGGAGGGAAATTCTTATTGTTGTTGCCACTCGTTGCTACTATTAGTAGCATAAGTCTCATTTACATTAGAATTTTTATTTATTTTTTCTATCTTTTTCTTTCTCTTGTTGCTCGATTGATTTGGAGCTTAGCTTACAAAGCTCCTTCTATCGAACCTTCTTGCCTCATTAGCTTTCTTTGCTATTGAGCCTATAATGAATTCAATAATTCGCTAAGGTGATACTTGTCAAATCTTTAGAATTTTCTAATGAGGAAATTGTTGCCTTAATGTTTTCGGGGAATGTAACTAGAACTTTCCGAACAATTTTAAAATTAGAAAATTCAATACCAAGCAATCTTACCCTATTGATAATGCTCAAAAATCAGTCGAGTACTCCTTGATAGTGTCTAACTCCTTCATTATTTCCATCTCAAACTCCCTTATCAAATTCAGCACTCGCATCCCTACGATTCTCTTGTCACCTTCATATTCTTTCTTAAGAAAATCTCATATGGTCTTTGTTGATTTTAAGATTATGATCCTAGTAAAGCTTGTTGGTCGGACAGCTTATAAACGGACAAGCTTTTTTTTTTTTTTTTTTGGTTGTGAATCTTGATTTGAACAAGTTTTGGATTGTAAAGCAATGGAGAAACTTCGTGGTCTTCTTCAATAGCCTCCCAAAGATCATAGCATTTAAGTAGGCCTCCAATCTCACCACCCAAACTTAATAATATTCACCTTCAAAAATTGGTTGCGCTACTATTGTGAATGATGAGTCTGAATCCATTTGTAGATTGATTTTTGTAAGGTGTTTATGCATTTTTAGTGGAAGGTTCACTCAAATTCAGTAATACGTCCTTCAAGAAGAAAGCTCTCATATCAATTGTTGGACTTTATCACAAAAGCAATAGAAGCTTTAAAGACTTTAAAACAAAGATAACTAATATAATGAAATCCTGTTTAAAAAAACTCAAGACAAGTGGCTGCAAATCAGTGTACATTTCATCGAATCAAATTGTACTTAAATACAATAAAAAAGTAACTGAAAAGGTAATAACTAAACATGCTTACATGATCTAACCCGTAAACAGAATATGATTCCATGATGTTAGAACATGATCTAAGTCATTAACAACTACTTTTTAGCAACTAAACAAAATACATAACAAAAACCATAAGAATAGATCAAACCTTTTAAATGCAACATGTGCAACCACTTAAGTTTGCCTAATCAATACCTTTTGCATAATTAGCAATTGTTGAGACACGTCTGCAACAATTATCCATTAGCCATGCTTGAAGATGTTCTGAGTATAGATCACATCTCAATAGCAGAAGCACTATTGCGCAGGTGTGACATTGATTACTTTTGAGATTTATACAGTTTCTTTTTTCTTTTCTTTTGTTGTTTTTTTTTTCCTTTCTGTTAACTTTGTTATGTGTCTGATGCGATTGTGGGCATGTGCCTATGCTGGTTTACTATATTCGGTAGTTCTTTCCAAAGAAAGTATTTAACAATTAAGCTCTCTTTATTCTTTTTATTTTCCAAAGTTTGTGCAGATTCAGAAGAAAAACATAGATTAGCCTTCAGACAAGTTTAGAACCTCTTCTTGTTCATGACTTAATCCATTCAATGAAATTCTTGAAATTCTCACTAGAATAACCAGCTTCTCCAACATTCTGCTTGGCCAATCTTTTGAGTTCTGCAGCTCTTGTTCTAAAATTTTCATCACCGACAACTGTCTCCACCTTGTTCTTTATTTCTTCCCCTGTGATGATCCCGCTGTTGTTTTTGTCAATCTTCAATCCCACCTTCCAAACATCACAAATGTAGGTCTCATTAAGGAATTGGTCAGCAAAGTATGGCCAGCACAAGAAAGGGACCCCATTGCTTAGACCCTCCATGGTGGAGTTCCAACCACAGTGGCTCAAGAAGCAGGAAATAGAAGGGTGACTAAGGACTTTCTGTTGAGGAGCCCAGCCAATCATCCGCCCACGGGTGGCTACTCTCTCTTGAAATCCTTCTGGATATGCGTCGTTGGTCTCAGTGGTAATATCTGGCCTGACAACCCACAAGAATGGCCTATTGGATAGTTCAAGACCTAGAGCTAATTCTTGGAATTGTGTTTTGTCAAAGACAGTAAAGCTACCAAATGCAACGTAAACAACTGACATGGGCGGCTGCTGGTCTAGCCATTTCAAGCATGTTGAGTCTTCTGGCCAGAAGTATCCCCGTTGATCTCCTAGCCAGTTGCTTGCCAGAAGTGGTCCTATGGGTAGAATGTTTGGAGCGAAAGAAAAAGCTCCAGGCTCAAGGTCATAAGCCGAGTTAGATATTATCCTGTCTACCGTTTTTGCGGTCTCGTTGGTTTTAACCATGAGATCAAATATAATTTTCTGTGCGGTAAAGCCACCAAGGCAGGCCCATACAAAATTTGCAGTGTCCATTTCAGGCATTGTTGGTGTCAAGTGAATCTTCCGGTTCTTTAGCGGCGTTCCTTCAAAGAAAAAAACTTTAAAATTTTAACAATCGATATCGAAATGAACTTTCTATTCCTACTTTGTTGGTTTTCTTGTTTTAAAGATCCAATATGTTGAATTTGTCACAGTAGCTTTGATAATCTGATTTTGGACTTCTTTAACGAAATTGCTATCAGAAAACAAGCTGGTTGACGACTTCTTTATTATTCTAATTCACTATACTGCAACAGAATGGTTAAAAGGTTTGTGATAGATGATCTCACCATTGCCGTCAATGACTCCATCACTTAGTAGCTTTGGAATACAAATCAATGAGCATAGCAGTGCAGCTGCAGCAGGCCAATAGATAGAACGTCGAATTTTCATCTTTTCTGCGACTTCTAGAGCCCATCCCATGCTCCAATCAGTAATTATACAGGTGACATTTTCTTCTTCAGACATATTGATCCGATCAATGAGCTCTTCTAGCTTCCCTGGCATGACCTGAAAAATAGATTTAGATAACTTTCCTAGATCATTTCTATCCCCACTAGGTTCTAGCCCATCCGGGAGTGAAACAAGACTAATTTCGCCCCCAATACTGTTCTCCCCCAACGCTTTCAAGACCCTATTGTGATTGTACTCTGTGTTCACAAATGTGATTTTGAATCCTTGTTTTGCTAGGCATTGTGAGAGTTCCATGAAGGGAATCACATGACCTTGTGCTGGATAAGGTACGACTACAATATGTGGGTTTCCCATTTCCTGTTCTAAGTTTTTTATTCAGTATCTAGATAAATCATGCGACTTTATAGAAGATTAGGAGGAGAGATCGAGAAACTAGGCAATGCATCCGGATTTGTCTTCTTGCAAGTTGATGTTCATTTGAATCTTGGGGTTGGTAATCTTCCATCCCACTCTCATTCTGTTTTAAGGTTATCAGCCTCTTCTGTTGGTTTACCATTGGCTTATTTCGTATTGAATGTTCCATGTGTCGTATCAGTTTTGGCTCCGCTCAATTTGTTTGTGTAATTCGTTCCATGCTTTCTCCGCCTGGTAATTCTTGTGGAAGTAGTAAAGATGCATTTGGAGTTTACACATCCGCCTTGCAGCTAAAAGTTGTAGGAGCTTGTCACAGTCAATTCTAGTAAATGTGTTGTAAGCCTATAAAAGATCCTCTTTGTCATATATGGCAAATTTTGCTTCCATTCTGTTATGATTAGGCAATTTAGATTATATTTGCTCAATTTTTAATATTTTAAGATTTAAATTATGAAATGTGGTATTATGAGTTCAAAATTATCAAAGAGCAATTGACTGAAGGAAAAATTTGTCGTTAAACCATTATATATTTTACAAAATATTGCCATGTTAGCATTACCAACATACCTGTTTATGCAGTAATTATTCTGTTTTAAGGTATCAGTATACTTCTTTTTTTTTTTTTTCTTTTTAATAAAAAAAATCTGACATTGGCTTTATTTATTTATTTAGTCTCAAGCACAACAGTAGGAATGTAAGCGTGATGGACAGACATGAGATTTAGAGAAGAAGGATGAAAAGCAGTCCTTCCTCTGTATCTCATTTAGCAAATGGAGAAAATAAGAGAGATAAAACAGTCCTTCCTCTAACCTTCGTAATGCAAATGGAGAAAACGAATACAAAAAAGTGTTTTATTTAGGAATATATATATATATATATACATATTCAATCTTACATCTTCCTTCCAAATATTTTAGCTTGGAAAAGCTTTAACAAGAGACAAGAAGGATAGATCACACCCTAGTCCCTACCTTAAATATATGTTATCCCAAAATCTGCGAGGAACACATCCTAGTGTCTGTAAACACCAGATGATAATATATACTGGCCATTTTCATCCAAGGCTCTTTATTTACTGGTATTCTAGGGATCAAACGGTAATATTGTTTCTAGATTATGACTTGGGAGGTCTTAATCCTTAAAGGCATGTTTGGTACGATATAAGGTAATTAATTGTGTAATGTAACGAAAAATATAATATGATGGAGTGGATTGATGCATTACGTTCTTTTGTTCGGTTACAAATATTCTTAGAAATATAATGGAGATTTTTTACAAACTTTTATTTCAATCCCTATTTTTAAAAATTTTTTATTTTAGTCCTTATATTTTATTTTTATTTACAAATTGGTCTTTATTTGAATTTTTTTGGCCCTTGTATACTTTTAAAAATTATTTTTTAGTCAAGCATAGAAATACCATTACATTATATATATAATGAGTCATTGATCCATTACATTATAATTTTAAAAATTACATAATCAAACATAGAAATGTAATATACATGACATTGCATGATCCATTATACTCATCCAAACATGCCATATTATTATTACCATTTGCCAATAAATGGGCATCTATAGATGAGATTTATTAACTAACTCAACATAATATTTATTAAGAATTAATCATAACTTAATTTGCTACTAATATATAGTCTCGTTTTAAATTAATCATAACTTAATTTGCTACTCATATATGGTATCGTTTTAACTAAGGGTTTTGCCTAATGGACATAGGAGTCTCATCTTCTTAACAAATATCCGAATGTTTGAGCTCATATGACCGAAACATTCAAACCTTCTATCTTTATTTATTTTATTTTTATGGGTTAATTAGGCCCTATTTTGAGTTGAAAAATCATTTATTTGGGGTTATTTTATTGTATGAATTTGGTCCAATTAATTAGTCCTTATGGATTGGATTCCTTGTTTTGCCAAATAGACCTAGAAATTATTGGGTTTGGATCCTTGTTGCTATGAATCCTTATTTATTTAGAAGTCTTTAAATTATATGGATTCTTATTTAATATGGACACCATAAATTATTATTATTATTTTTATTGAATAATGATTGTGTAAGTGTCTATTTGGGTCTAGAATTATTTTTCTATTAAAGTTTCGGTCATGTTAGCTTTTGTAGTCACTTAGACAAGTGATTCTAGCCGAAACTACCCGCCAGTATTTAATCAAACTTTTTGTTTCATTGTAAAATTTTTTTCTGAATATTATTGAATAAAATAGATAAATAATTTTCCACTGCAAAAATAATGACAATTAGTGATAGTTCAAATCATCGCTAAAATTAATTAGCGACAGTTTTGTGATGGTTTGAAACGAGTCCACAAAAGACTTGTTGCCCATTAATTAACGACGAGAAAAACTATCACTAATATATATATAAAAAAACAAAACGAGTCGCTAATTTTTGACAAATCAACTACTTTTTTTAAAATCGAAATCAACGATCGCTAAATTCGGACAATTTAGCGATTGTTTTTAAAAACCATTGCAAATTATCCAAAATTAGCGATGGTTTTAACGACTATTTTTTATGATGGTAGCTAAAGTATGATTTAGCGACGGTTAAAAACCATTGCTAAATCCTTTTGAATTTTTTTTTTTTAAATTTGCAATTTTTATTTCATCACTTAGAAGAAAAATTTAAGCTATTCCAATTTAATAACTAAAAAAATGTTATAAATTAGATTTTTAAATATTACGAAACCATTATAATACACTACAAAAAAAAAACAGCAATTAGCAATGGAATATTCCATCGCTAATTGCCCAAATTTCATCGCTAATAGTGAATAGCGACGAAATATTTTTTGTTGTTATTTCGCTTGTTGCTAACTTTTTGTGATGAAAAATCCAATCTGTCACTACGTTTAGCGACAAAAAATCCATCACTACGCAAAAGCAAAACGTCGCTAATCTTATCGTGGGATCCGTCATTTCGTTCGTAGCTATTACGTCGCTATTGCCATCACTAATTTTGAAAGTAAATTTATCGCTAGTCCATCGCTATTCCGTCTCTAAATTTGAAAATGAATTTGTCACTAGTCGATTGCAATTTGGTCACTACTTTTGAAAATGAATTTGTCATTATTTTGTTGCTATTCGGTCGCCAAATTTGAAAACGAATATGTCGCTAATCCATCGCGATTCGGTCACTAATTTTAAAAACAAATTTATCATCATCTTGTCGCTATTCCGTCATGAAATTTTTTGATAATTTTTTAATTGTTTTTGTTGTAGGGAGACGTCGAGGGCGAGGGCGATGTGCTTAGGCGAAAATGGAAAAAAATGATTGGAGTCCCCACCTAATATTATAGTTACTAGGAAACTCTATGACTGGTGCGTTCGGAGTTTTGAATAAGGGGTTTATTACCTGTAGGAGAGATTAAAATCATCTTACCCCGTCCTACCTAGGGCAAGCTGCATTACATAAAAACGTTGATTTGATTTCTAATTTTTAGTGATGAACGTCTATACCTATCTCTCGAAGCATTGGCCCACTGGTCGAGTGATTTGGGACTTGGTCGGTCGGAGACCCGGTCCTCACTCTATAATGAATAGCTAAAAAATGATAAACATGAGAATATGTTGCTAATGTAACTCGAATGGCATGCATGAAAAAAAAATAAAAATGGAAAAATAGGCAAACAAATAAGTTGGCAAGTTGGCAAAATAGACAAAGAGGTAAAAATATGCAAATAAGCAATTAGGCAAAATAGGCAAGAATCAACGAACATGCGAAACGGGAAAAATGGATAAAATCGACAAATTGACAAATAGGCAAACATGCAAATAGGAAAAATCGACAAAATCGACAAATAGGAAAAATTGAGAAATTGGCACGATTGGCAAACGAGCAATTAGGCAAAATAGGCAAATTGGCAAAATTAGTAAATATTCAATCGGACAAAAATCGACAAATAGGTAAAATCGATAAAAAAAATTGACAAATAGGCAATTAGGCAAAAATAGCAAATAGGCAAAATCGATAAAATTGACAAATTAGCAAATCAACGAAATCAACAAATTGAAAAGTAGACAAATAGGCAAAATTGGCAATTAGGCAATTAGGCAAAATAAGCAAAATTGATAAATTAGCAAAAATCGACAAATTGACAAAATTGGCAAAATAATTTCGAAACCATCGATAGCTTCGTCACATAAGTAGGAAGCCATCGATAGCTTCATTGTACATTGCAATCACTAATTGAGAGTTAACTAAACCACAAGAATAGCACAAACTTCGTATTTAAATAGGTAGGCATAATAACGGGAAAACATGGCATTTTTTCCTTTAATGATCATTGCGGTAATATTTCATTTTTTAACCACATTTAATCTCTAACTATGAAGCCAAATATTGCAATTTTAATCACATTCCACACATACCAATCATTTTTAACCTTTTAACATATTTTCGAAGTCCCATGCTTTCGGGATTTTTACCCAAGAGTCTTGAGATGTCGATGTTCAATTTGGAGTCAATCTTACCCTTTTCATTCCTAATGATAATCGATTATTCGATTAGCTAAGAAAAGAGAGTAACTACTGGTGGGTAATGAGTACGAATACTGCTTAGGGTGGCCAAAGGATCTCATTTACTTGGCTTCAAAATTTACGGAGTTACTACTACGAAGTTATAGAGTTCTCGAAAGCTCAAGGTGACTTTTGTTGCTTACTCTCCTATCAAAAATCAAGCAAATGTAGTAGCGCCCTACGAGAGAGAAAAAAGAGAGAGATGCTCTCCTCCTATGGAATTTTTTCCTCTAGTTCGGTCGATGCCCTCTCGGACTCCTCATGTCCGGCAACCTCCTATCACCTCTTGATTCTTCTCCGGCCACCCCTCTATTCTCTCTCCTTACGATGATCGCCCACTCCCTTTCCCTCTCCTCCCCTTCCATCCCCCGCGTTCTCTTATTT